TCAGATATTTACATGACAATTTATAACAGTAGCAACATGACAGTGATGAAGCAGCTACGAAAATAATTTTACGGTTGGGTTTCCCACAGCATGAGGAACTGCATTCAAGGGTAGCAGCGTTAGGAAGGTTGAGAACCACTGATATAGATAGATATATAGATAGATATAGATATAGGTATAGATATAGATATAGATATAGATATAGATATAGATATAGATGATATAGATATAGATATGGATATGGATATGGATATAGATATAGATATAGATATAGATATAGATATAGATATAGATATAGATGATATAGATATTGTGATGAAGTAGCAACAAAAATAATTTTATGGTTGGGGGTCCCCACAGCATGAGAAACTGCATTCAAGGGTTGTGGCCTTATGAAGGTTGAGAACCACTGCATTAAAGGAAACAGAAACACAGATTTGCGTCAATGTTTTTTCACAACCAGGCATTTCCATCCTTGCCCTGGGGCAAAACTCGAGATCCTGGCCATGATCGCTGGTAACATGCAGCCACCTCCCTCCCTCACTGACCTGCTTTTCAACCTCAGTTCTACTTACAGTGATGTCTCTTTTATTTTTATTTTTAAAATATATTTGTATTGACTTCAGAGAGAGGAAGGGAGAGGGAGAGAGAGAGAGAAATACCCATGATGAGAGAGAATCATGGACCGGCTGCCTCCCACACGCCCCCTACTGGCGATAGAGCCCGCAACCTGGGCATGTGCCCTTGACTGGCAATCAAACCATGACTTCCTGGTTGATAGGTCGACGCTCAACCACTGAATTTAATCAGCAGTCACTGATCTCTTTAATGCAACCATGGATGTCCTGAAATAGATTTCTGGGGCTCCCTCCAGCACCCCTTCCAGCCACCTCTCTCGGGTGCGATGCTAGATGAATTTTATGATCACTGTGCTTTAATTGGGGCTGTTTAGTGCTAAACACAATTAAAAACCCAAATGCACACAGAGATAGATGCTGAAGACACACACAGAGGTGGCTCAAGCCTTTCGGAGACGAGCCCTGGCAACCCTCATAATTCCTCAAAGGAAAGAGATGATCAGCATAAAACACCCATAATCCCCCAAACATTCGTTCTTTTTTTGGAGAGGGTAGTATCAGTTGACGAACCTCAGGAGATCAAACAATGGGAACGCTGGTCATTGAAATGAAAACTATTTCCAGTGATGTCTTTGAGCCTTGTCTACTGGGGCTGGGCTAATATTTTCAGGCTTAAGGTCTTTTTCTTTTTCTTTCTCTGTTTAATATATTTTTACTAGAGGCCCGGTGAAGGAATTCGTGCACCAGTCTGGAGCCTCGGCCTGGCCTGCGGGGATCAGCAGAAACTGTCTCTCTGACATCCCCCGAGAAGACCCAGATTACAAGAGGGCACAGGCCAGGCCAAGGCACCCAGCTGGTGAGCCATTATTTCTAGGGAGAGATACGGGAGGTTGGCCAGCTGGGGAGGGACCATGGCAGGGCTCCAGGGTGTTTCCATCATGTCTCACGAAGTCCCGATCAGCCAGACCCCAGCAGCAAGCTAACCTACCAGTCTGAATGTGTTGTCCCTGGTAGTCAATGCATGTCATAGCGAGCAGTTGAGCAATCTTCGCATATCATTTGCATATTATGCTTTGATTGGTTGAACAGAAGACCGGAGGACTAGACACTTAGCATATTAAGCTTTTATTATATAGGATTGATTTCATACAGGAAGGGAGTGAGAAACATCAAGGATGAGAGAGAATCATACATCAGGTGCCTCTGCACGCCCCCTACTGGGGATTGAGCCCACAACCAGAGCATGTGCCCTTGACCAGAATCGAACCTGGACCTTCCATACTCCACAGTCCAACCCTCTATCCACTGAGCTAAACAAGCTAGGGCTCATTGGTCAATTCTTGTCTGTGCCCGGACCAGAAATCAAACCGTGACCTCCAGGTTCATAGGTCATCCCTCAACCACTGAGAAACACCAGCTTGGCTCAAAATGCTTTTATTGATGAGAGAGAGAGAGAGAGAGAGAGAGAGAGAGAGAGAGAGAGAGAGAGACATCAATGTGCCCTAGCACCCAGGGGTGATAGATAGAACAACAGAGCTTAGTAAAAAGGTGAACAGAACTATACACGTCCCACCGGCAGGCCAGCTGGACTGGGGCTGAGGTTGACAAGAGCCAGGGACCCTATCAAGTGTCCTACGAGTCTTCCATCAGCTCAAGGATCATTTCCTCCACTCCATCCACCTTGCTGTGGTGCAAGATGCACCATAACTGGAGCATGGAGTCCACGTACTGGCTGCCAGAGAGGAGCGTCCACAACGGAGGCATGGTGCTCGAGATCAGCGGGTTGGTGGCGAGTGCAATATGCTCACTGGGTATGTTTACGTGGCGCAACTGTACTTGCGGGACACCTCCTGTGTCCATGACGAGGTGCATCCATTTGCGCTGCTTCTCGTCCTCATACATGGAGGGCCCACAGATACTCAGGTAGATGGGGGGCAAGTTGAGCTGCACATTCGACGGGAGCCTTGGCATGACCCCTCCGTGGTCCAAGGAGCAGCAGCCACAGCTTCTCAGAGCCTCTCGCTACTTCGGTCCTGTTATAGAAAGACAGAGGATCGGGTCTCCAAATGCATTTTACCACGGCTTTTATCTTTATGGTTTTTAAGGTTGTGTTTGTGGTTGCCTTTGGTTCTAATTTATAAATCTCAACTTTTCTTTCTTTTTTACCTATAGATCTCTCTTGTAGAACAAACTGTACTAAATGTACTTAATGTAAAATATGACTCTGTGAATGTAACATGGTCCTATGGAATTTTAAAAACATTTTTTAAATGACAGTTGACATAGAACATTAGGTTCATTTCAGGAGTACACCCCAATGATTAGACATTATATAATTGACTAAGAAATCATGCAATTAATCTCATACCCATCTGACACCATACACAGTTAGAATATTACTAGAGGCTCAGTGCACAAAATTTATGCACTCAGGGGGGTCCCTCAGCCAATCCTTCAGCCTCTCCCAGTCCAGGACCTGTTGAGGGATGTCCAATGATGGCTTAGGCCCACCTTAGTACTGCCATGGAGGCTCCCACCACTCCCCTGTGCTCAGCAACTGTGAGCCTGGCTTTTGGATGAGCGGCGCTCCCCTGTGGGAGTGCACTGACCACTGGCGGACAGCTCCTGCCATGATCATCTGCCCCTGATGGTCAGTGTGTGTCATAGGGACCAGTCGTTCTGCCGCTTGGTTGACTTGCATATTAGCCTTTTATTATATAGGATTGCATTGACTCAATGCTCTACTGTTCTGTGCCATAACTATTCTTTCTCTTTTTTTCATATAGTTTTACTGATTTAAGGGAGGAAGGGAGAGGGAGAGAATGTGAAAGATCAATTATGACAGAGAATCATGGATTGGTTGCATCCTGGGCCCACTACTGAGGATCAAGACAGTAACCCAGGCATGTGCCCTGACAGGGAATCGAATCGACATATCCTGGTTCCTAGGTTTAAGCTAAATGACTGAGCCATGCCAGCAGGGCTCTTTTTTCTTCTTTTCTTTCTTTTCTGTTCTCTTCTTTTCTTTTCTTTCCTTTTCTTTTCCGTTCTGATTTTTTTTTCTTTTCTTAATTAAAACTTTGTAGTTGGTTCAAGTTTTGTTTCTGTCCTGACAACACCACATTCTTTCTGATCATCTCAGAGGGAACTCACAAACCATAGGACAATCCATCCCATGAAAATTATATACAAATAATATGCTTTACATTTAATAGCTGAAACAGGGACAAAGCTAATGTCAGCATCCACGTGGGTTTCTTAATAGAGGTCTTGCTTCTCAGGTGCTATTTAGAGAGGCAGAATAAAAATATTCAGGGACAGACATATACATGGATTACCTGATCGGGCAAACAGGAAGCAACGTGACAGGTGAAAGAGCACGTAGGATTCCTGAGGTCTCATAACATCACTTATAGAATGATCTCTCCCTTCCCCAAACCTCAGCTATGTTCTTGGCAAGAGCTTTATGGTTTTCCTGCTAAACTCACTTCAGTCCACAAAGCCAAAATTCCTTCCTCAGATCAGACTCCATCCTCAGTTCTTCTCCTCCCATCAATCTTTTTCGTACCTGTTTGTCTTGCTCTGAAGGCAAAGCACCGTTCTTTGATCCTTTCCTCTGTGACCGGTCTGTGCTTCCCCCTGTCACCTGCAGAAGAAAGAAAATGGCCATGATACACCTGTTCCAGGGAGTCCATGTACTAGGAATGTGTCCAGAAAAAGCACGGTCCCTCTGACTCACACCCAGAAACCAGTACCGAGAGACAGGTGGTGGTAAGGAGGGAAAGAGGTTTATTCAGGTGCAGGCAACCCGAGAAGATGGGGGAAGCTTGTTCCAAAACCCATCTGCACATCTCCGTTCAGGCAGAGGCTTTTATAAGGAGGGAGAGGCCAAACAGAGCAAAGAGGTCAGGGGGCGGGGCTTGAGAAGTTCTCTACATGCCAACAGGCACAGTCCAATATGATAAGGATCTTGAAGGGGTCAGGTGTTGGTCCAGTGTGCGTCATCCTAGACTTTGTCCTCCTGGTTCTAAGGTTGAAGGTCATCAAATCTCCCAGAACTGGAAAGGTCAGAGTTCATATCTTGTAAAATGAGTTCCTAGGATTCTTATACAAACATGCTGTTTATCTACAAGCTTCATTATTAGTCAGAGTCTGAAAATACAGGAGCAATTTGAAAGGATGTTGAGGTGAGTCGTAATTCTCACTGTGACATGAATGCTGAGAAGCTTTGTTCTTCTTCAAGGCATTTCCACCCTTTGGAAAAGTCAAATTGGCCCTGGATGGTTTGGCTCAGTGGATACAGTGTTGGCCTGTGAACTGAAGGGTACCTGGTTCGATTCCCGGTAGAGGGCACATGCCCAGGTTGTGGGCTTGATCCCCAGTGAGGGAGGTGCAAGAGGCAGCCGATCCATGATTCTCTCATCATGGATGTTTCTAACTCTCTCCCTCTCCATTCCTCTCTGAAAAAAAATAAATAAATAAAAACAACTCACAGCTCAATGACCTGGACTGATACAATTCTTCCCCAGTTAGGAAGGAAAGATGAATGGGGTCCTAAGGGAATGTCAGACATCTGCCTGTTGGCATTTAGGAGAAGCAAAATTAAAAGAAAAAAAGAAAAGAGGGGAGGAAAAAAACATAGTGTCACCCTCATACTGCCCTCGAAGGAATAGAACCCAATGGGGTCATGAGACAGAGTGTCTGCAGTGCCGCACATGACAGATCTCGAGGCGTGGGATCTTTTATAAAATAATTTATATTTTTTTATTGATTTTAGAGAGGAAGGGAGAGAAGATAGAAACATCAGTGATGATGAGAGGGAATCCTGGACCGGCAGCCTTCTGCACTTCCCCACTGAGGATCAAACCCGCAACATGGGCATGTGCCCTTGACTGGAATCAAACCAGGGACCCTTCAGTCTGCAGGCCGATGCTCTATCCACTAAGCCAAACCAGCATAGGCGCAAGGTCGTCTTTAAATGACCAGCCACCTGGAATGTTAAACCAAAAAAATAATGAACTATTTCAAAACAATATGCAGGCCATTTGAATGCAACAATTGCTAATATTTTTTAAATGATTTTACTGACTCAGAGAGGAATGAAAAATGAGAGGGAGAGAAACATCCATGATGAGAGAGAAGCAAGGATTGGCGGCATCCCACACGCCCCCTACTGGCGATCGAGCCTGCAACCCGGGCATGTGCCCTTGACCGGGAATCAAACCATGACCTCCTGGTTGATAGGTAGATGCTCAGCCACTGATTTTTCAAAAGCAGTCAGTGATCTCTTTAATGCAACCATGATGCCCTGAAATAGATTTCCGGGGCTCCCCCTGGCTCCCTCTCCAGCCTCCTCTCTCTGGTGCAATGCTAGATGAATTTTATTATCGCTGGGGTTTTTTGGGGCTGTTTAGTGCTAAACACAATTATAAACCCAAATGCATCCAGAACTAGATACTAAAGCCACACAAAGAGCCGGTTCGAGCCTTAAGGAGATACTCCCTGGCATCACTCATAATTCCTCAAAGGAAAGAGATGATCAGCATAAAACACCCATAATCACCCAAACATTCATTCTTTTTTTGGAGAGGGAGTATCCGTTGACGAACCTCAGGAGATCAAACAATGAGAACACTGGCCATTGAAATGAAAACTATTTCCAGTGATGTCTTCGAGCCTTGTCTACCAGGGATGGGCTAATATTTTCAGGCTTAAGGTCTTTTTCTTTTTCTTTCTCTGTTTAATATATTTTTACTAGAGGCTCGGTGCACGAATTCATACACCAGTGTGGTGCCTTTGCCTGGCCTGCAGGGATCGGCCAAAAGTGTATCTCTGACATCCCCCAATGGGTCCCAGATTATGAGAGGGCACAGGTCAGGCCAAGGGACCCCAGTGGTTTACCATTATGTCTGGGGAGGGACACAGGAAGTTGGCCAGCTGGGGAGGGACTAAGGTAGGGCTCAAGGGTGTGTCCAGCATGTCTCACTCAGTCCTGATCAGCCTGACCCCAGCAGCAAGCTGACCTACCAGTCTGAATATCTTTTCCCTGGTGGTCAATGCATGTCATAGCGAGCAGCTGAGCAATCTTAGCATAACATTCGCATATTATGCTTTGATTGATTGAATAGATGACCGGCTGACTAGACACTTAGCATATTAGGCTTTTATTATACAGGATTGATTTCATAGAGGAAGGGAGCGAGAAACATCAGTGATGAGAGAGAATCATACATCGGGTGCCTCCTGCACACATGCTACTGGCGATCAAGCTTACAACCAGAACATGTTCCCTTGACCAGAATCAAAACTGGGACATTCCAGAGTCCACAGTCCAACCCTCTATCCACTGAGACAAATAAGCTAGGGCTCATTGGTTAATTCTTCTCTGTGCCCTGACCAGGAATCAAACCGTGACCTCCAGGTTCATAGGTCGTCCCTCAACTACTGAGAAACACCAGCTTGGCTCAAAATGCTTTTACTGATTTGAGAGAGAAGGAGACAGAGAGAGACAGAGAGGCAAAGAGACAGAGAGAGAGAGAGAGAAAGGAGAAGGAGAAGAACAAGTAGAAGAATAAGAAGAATAAGAAGAGGAACAACAACAACAAGAAGAAGAACAAGAAGAAAGAGAGAAGAGCGAGAAAGAGTGAGAGAGAGAGAGAGATCAATGTGCCCTCGCACCCAGGGGGTGGCAGATAGAACAACAGAGCTTAGTAAAAAGGTGAACAGAACTATACACATCCCAACACCAGGCATGCACGACTGGGGCTCAGGTTGACAAGAGCCATGGACCAAATCACATGTCCTACGAGTTTTACATTAGCTCAAGGATCATTTCCTCCACTCCTTCCTCCTTGATGTGGTGCATGATATGCCAGATCCGGCACATGCAGTCCAGGTACTGGTCTCCAGGGTGGAGCGTCCAAAGGAACGGCATAGTGTTCGATGTCTCTGGGCTGGTTGTGAGTGCAATATGTCCACTGGGGATGTCTTCCTGGCGCAACCGTACTTGCAGGACAACTTCTGTGTCCATGACGTGATGCAGCCACATCTTCTTCTTCTCGTCCTGGTACACCGAAGGCCCACAGATCCTCAGAAAGGTGGGGTGGGAGGTGATGTGCACCTTTGACGGGAGCTCGGCCATGACCCCTCCGTGGTCCATGGAGCAACAGCCACAGCTTCTCAGAGCCTCTCGCTATTTCGGTCCTGGCATGGAAAGACAGGGGATCGGTTCTCCAAACGCATTTTACCTTGGCTTTTCTCTTTATGGTTTTTAAGGTTGTGTTTGTGGTTGCCTTTGGTTTATTTTGCAAATTTATAAATCTCAACTTTTCTTTCTTTTTTAGCTTTAGATCTCTCTCCTAGAACAAACTGTACAAAACATACTTAAGGTAAAATATGACTCTATGAAGGTAACATGGTCCTATAAAATTTTTAAAACATTTTTAAAATGACAGTTGACATAGAACATTAGGTTCATTTCAGGGTACACCCCAATGATTAGACATTATATAATGGACTAAGAAATCATGCAATTAACCTCATACCCATATGACACCTTACACAGTCATAATATTACTAAAGTATCATTGCACAAAATTTATGCACTCACAGAGGTCCCTCAGCCAATCCTGCAGCTTCTCCCAGTCCGGGACCCCTTGAGGGATGTCCAACTGATGACTTAGGCCGGCTTTAGGTCTGCCGTGGAGGCTCCCACTATCCCCCTGTGCTTGGCAGCTATAAGCCTGGCTTTTGGCTGATCGGTGCTGCCCCTGTGGGAGCACACTCACCACTGGTGGACAGCTCCTGCCATGAGAATCTACATCTGGTGGTCAGTGTGTGTCATAGCGACCAGTTCTACCATTTGGTCCATTTGCATATTAGCCTTTTGTTATATAGGATTGCATTGACTTAATGCTCTACTTTACCGTGCCATGACTATTCTTTCCTTTTTTTCACATAGTTTTACTGATTTCAGAGAGGAAGGGAGAGGGAGAGAAAGAAAGATCAATGATGAGAGAGAATCATGGATTGGTTGCCTCCTGCATGACCCCTACTGGGGATAAAGACTGTGACCCGGGCATGTGCCATGACTCGGAATCAAATGAACATCTCCTGGTTCCTAGGTTTAAGCTAAACAACTGAGCCATGCCAGCCGGGCTCTTTTATCTTCTCTTCTTTTCTTTTCTTTTTTTCTTAATTTAAACTTTGTAGTTGGTTCAACTTTTCTTTTTGTCCTGACACCACCACCTTCTTTCTGATCATCTCAGAGGGAACTCACAAACCATAGAACAACCCACCCTGTGCAAATAATATGTAAATAATATGCTTTACCTTTAACAGCTGGCAGAAAAACAAAGCTAACGTCTACCTCCAGGTGGGCTTCTTAACAGAGGTCTTGCTTCACAAGTGCTGATGAGAGAGGCAAGACCAAAATATTCAGGGTCAGACAGATACCTGGGAGAGCTGACAAGCAAACAGGGAGCAAAGAGACAGGTGAAATAGCCAGAGGGATTCGTGAGGTCTCATGACATCACTTATAAAATGATCTCTCCCTTCCCCAAACCTCAGCCATGCTCTTGGCAAGAGCTGTATGGTTTTGCTGCTAAACTCACTTCAGTCCACAAAGTGCAAATTCCTCCCTCAGATCAGACTCCATCTCCAATCCTTTCTCATCCTCCTCCCATCCACCTTTTTCTTACCTGTTCTTCTTGCTCTAAAGGCAAAGCACAGTTCTTTGCTCCTTTCCTCTGTGACCGGTCTCTGATTCCCCCTGTCACCTGCAGAAGAAAGAACATGACCATGATACACTTATTCCCAGGAGTCCATGTACCAGGAATGTGCCCAGAAAAAACAAGGCTCCGCTGACTCACACACCAGAAACCAGTCCGGTGAGACAGGCCGTGGGGAAGAAGGAAAGTGGTTTATTCGGGTGCTGGCAACCTGAGAAGTCGGAGGAAACTCGTCCCAAATCCCATCTGCACATCTCAGTGCAAGCAGAGGCTTTTGTAAGGAGGGAGAGGCCAAACAGAGCAAAGAGGTCAGGGGGCGGGGCTTGAGAAGTTCTCTACGTGCCCACAGGCACAGTCCAATTTGATAAGGATCTTGCAAGTGGTCAGGTGTCGGTCCAGTTTGCGTCATCCTAGACTTTGTCCTCCTGGTTCTAAGGTTGAAGGTCATCAAATCTCCCAGAACTGGGAGGGTCAGAGTTCATATCTTGTAAAATTAATTCCTAGGATTCTTAAACAAACATGCTGTTTATCAACAAGCTTCATTATTAGTCAGAGTCTGCATTTACAGGAACAATGTGAAAAGAATGGGGAGGTGAGTCGTGATTCCAACTGACATAAATGCTGAGATGCTTCGTTCTTCTTCAAGGCATTTGCACCCTTTGAAAAAGTCAAAGTGACCCTGATCAGTTTGTCTCAGTGGATAGAGTGTCGGCCTGGGAACTGAAGTGTTCTGAGCTCAATTTCCAGTCACCGGCACATGCCCATGTTGTGGGCATGATCCCCAGTGAGGGACTTGCAGGAGGCAGCCGATCCATGATTCTCTCATCACGGATGTTTCTAACTCTCTCCCTCTCCATTCCTTTCTGAAAAAAAAAATATAAAACCACTCCCAGCTGAAAGACCTGGACTGAGGCAAACTCCTCCCCAATTAGGAAGGAAAGATGAATGTTGCCATAAGGAAATATCAGACATCTGCCTGTTGGCATTTAGGAGAAGAAAAGAAAAAGAAAAAAGAAAAAATGGGAGACAAAAAACATTGTTGAAATGTCACCCTCATACTGCCCTTGAAGGGATCGAGCCCAAAAGCGTCACGAGACACTGTGTCTGCAATGCGACACATGACAGATCTAGAGGCGTGGGCTCCTTTATAAAAAAAATATATTTTTTTATTGATTTTAGAGAGGAAGGGAGAGAGAGATACAAACATCAGTGATGATGAGAGAGAATCCTGGACTGGCTGCCCCTTGCACTCCCCCCACTGGATGGAGCCCTTGACTGTAATAAAACCCAGGACCCTTCAGTCCGAAGGTCGACACTCTATCCACTGAGCCAAACCAGCACAGGCACTAGATTGTCTTTAAATGTCTACCCACCAGGTATGTTAAACCAAAAAAATAAACTATTTTAAAACAATGTGCATGCCATCAGAATGAAACAATTGCTAATATTGTTTAAAATGATTTTATTGACTCAGAGAGGAACGGAAATTGATAGAGAGGGTAACATCCCTGATGAGAGAGAATCACAGCTTTAGCGTCTACCTCTGTGTGCATTTGTTTTTTTTTAATATATTTTACTGATTTTTTACAGAGAGGAAGGGAGAGAGATAGAGAGTTAGAAACATCGATGAGAGAGAAACATCGATCAGCCGCCTTCTGCACATCTCCCACCGGGGATGTGCCCGCAACCCAGGTACATGCCCTTGACCGGAATCGAACCTGGGACCTTTCAGCCCCGCAGGCCGACGCTCTATCCACTGAGCCAAACCGGTTTCGGCTAGGGTTTTTAATTGTGTTTAGCACTAAACAGCCCCAAACGGAGCCCAGCGATCATAAAATTCATCTAGCATCGCACCAGCGAGAGGAGGCTGGACGGGGAGCCGGAGGGAGCCCCAGACATCAATTTCTGGACATCCACAGTTGCATTAAAGTGAACTATGGATCGGCTGCCTCCTACATGCCCCCTACTGGTGAACGAGCCCGAAACCTGGACCTCTAGTAAAAATATATTAAACCGAGATAGAAAAAGAAAAAGACCTTAAGCCTGAAAATATTAGCCCAGCCCTGGTAGACAAGGCTCAAAGACATCACTGGAAATAGTTTTCATTTCAATGAGCAGCGTTCTCATTGTTTTATCTCCTGAGGTTCGTCAACCTATACTACCCTCTCCAAAAAAGAAGGAATGTTGGGGGAAATTCGTGCACCAGTGTGGTGCCTCAGCCTGGCCTGCGGGGATCGGCCAAAACTGGCTCTCTGACATCTCCCGAGAGGTCCCAGATTGTGAGCGGGCACAGGCCAGGCCAAGGCACCACACGGGTGCCCCATTAGGTCTGTGGAGGGACCATGGGAGGGCTCAAGGGTGTGTCCAGCCTGTCTCACTCAGTACCAGTCAGCCAGACCCCAGCATCTCGTTGATCTACCAGTCTGAATGTCTTGTCCCTGGTGGTCAATGCATGTCATAGCGAGCAGCTGAGCAACCTTAGTATATCATTTGCATATTATGCTATGATTGGTTGAACAGATGACCAGTCGACTGGACACTTAGCATATTAGGCTTTTATTATATAGGAGTGATTTCATACAGGAAGGGAGTGAGAAACATCAATGATGAGAGAGAATCATACATCGGGTGCCTCCTGCTCGCTCCCTACTGGCGATTGAGCCCACAACCAGAGCATGTGCCCTTGACCAGAATCCAGCCTGGACCTTCCAGAGTCCAAAGTCTAACCCTCTATCCACTGAGCCAAAAAAGCTAGCGTTCATTTGTTAATTCTTGTTTGTGCCTTGACCAGGAATTGAACCTTGACCTCCGGGTTCATAGGTCTGCACTCAAGCACTGAGAAACACCAGCTTGGCTCAAAATGGTTCTATTGATTTGAGAGAGAGGGAGAGAGACAGAGAGAAAAAGAGACAGAGAGAGAGAGAGAGAAAGGAGATGAAGAACAACAACAAGAAGAATAACAAGAAGAAAGAGAGAGAGAGAGAGACAGAGATACATCAATGTGCCCTCGCACCCAGGGGGTGGCATATAGAACAACAGAGCTTAGTAAAAAGGTGAACAGAACTATACATGTCCCACCGGCTGGCCAGCAGGAATGGAGCTCAGGCCGACAAGAGCAAGGGACCCCATCACGTTTCCTATGAGTGTTCCATCAGCTCAAGGATCATTTCCTTCATGCCATTCTCCTTGATGTGGTGCACAATGCGCCAGAACCGGCAAATGGAGTCCAGGTACTTGTCGCCAGGTTGGAGCGTCCACATAAAAGGCATGGTGCTCGAGGTCTCCGGGCTGGTGGTGAGTGCGATATGCCCACTGGGGATTTTTTCCTGGCGCAACCGTACTTGCAGGACACCTCCTGTCTCCATGACGAGATGCAGCCACGTGTGCTTCTTATCGTCCTCATACACCGAGGTCCCACGGATCCTCAGGCAAATGGGATGTGAGGTGAGGTGCAACTTTGACGGGAGCTCGGCCATGACCCCTCCGTGGTCCAAAGAGCAACAGCCACAGCTTCTCAGAGCCTCTCGCTACTTCGGTCCTGGTATCAAAAGAGAGGGGTTCAAGTCTCCAAACGCATTTTACCTTGGCTTTTATCTTTATGGTTTTTACGGTTGTGTTTGTGGTTGCCTTTGGTTCATTTTGCAAACTTATAAATCTCAACTTTTCTTTCTTTTAGCTTTAGACCTCTCTTCTAGAACAAACTGTACAAAGCATACTTGAAGTAAAATATGTGTCTGTGAAGGTAACATGGTCCTATAGAATTTTTAAAACATTTTCTAAATGACAGTTGAAATAAACATTAGGTTCATTTCAGGGGTACACCCCAATGATTACACACGTATAATGGACTAAGAAATCATGCAATTAATCTCATACCCATCTGAAACCATACACAGTTATTGTAATATTACTAGAGGCTCAGTGCACAAAATTCATACACTTGGGTAGTGACCCTCAGTAAGCAGTGTGGCCTCTAGCAGTCCAGGACCCCATGACGATGTCCAACTGATGGCTTAGGCCCACTTTAGTGCTGCCGTGGAGGCTCCCACCAACCCCTGTGCTCAACAGCTGAGAGCCTGGCTTTTGGCTGAGCTGTGCTCCCCCTGTGGGAGTGCAATGACCACCAGTGGAGAGCTCCTGACATGAGCATATGCCCCCGGTGGTCAGTGTGTGTCATAGCAACCATGTGTTCTGCCATTGGGACAATTTTCATATTAGCCTTTTATTATGTAGGATTGCATTGACTCAATGCTCTACTTTACTGTGCCATGACTATTCTTTCGTGTTTTTCATATAGTTTAACTGATTTCAGAGAGGAAGGGAGAGGGGGAGAAAGAGAAAAAAGATCAATGATTACAGAGAATCATGGATTGATTGCCTCCTGCACACCATCTACTGGGGATCAAGACTGTAACCCAGGCATGTGCCCTGACAGGGAATCTAATCGACATATCCTGGTTCCTAGGTTTAAGCTAAACAACTGAGCCACTCCGGCTGGGCTCTTTTCTCTTCTTTTCTTTTCTTTTCTTTTCTTTTCTTTTCTTTTCTTTTCTTTTCTTTTCTTTTTTCTTTTCTTTTCTTTTCTTTTCTTTTCTTTTCTTTTCTTTTCTTTTCTTTTCTCTTCTATTTTTTTTCTTTTTTGATTAAAACTTTGTAGTGGGTTCAAGTTTTCTTTCTGTCCTGACAACACCACCTTCTTTCTGATCATCTCAGAGGGAACTCACAAACCATAGAACAAACCACCCCAGGAATAAAGCTAATGTCAGCATCCACGTGGGCTTCTTAACAGAGGTATTGCTTCTCCACGTGGGCTTCTTAACAGAGGTCTTGCTTCTCAGGTGCTGTTTAGAGAGGTAGAATCAAAATATTCAGGGACAGACATATACCTCGGATACCTAATCGGGAAAAAAGGAAGCAACATGACAGGTGAAAGAGCAGGGAGGATTCCTGAGGTCTCATAACATCACTTATAGAATGATCTCTCCCTTCCCCAAACCTCAGACATGTTCTTGGCAAGAGCTTTATGGTTTTGCTGCTAAATTCACTTCAGTCCACAAAGCCCAAATTCCTTCCTCAGATCAGACTCCATCCTCAGTCCATCCTCCTCCTCCTCCCATCCATCTTTTTCTTACCTGTTCTTCTTGCTCTGAAGGCAGAGCACCGTTCTTCGATCCTTTCCTCTGTGACCAGTCTGTTCTTCCCCCTGTCACCTGCAGAAGAAAGAAAATGGCCATGATACACCTGTTCCAGGGAGTCCATGTACCAGGATTGTGTGCAGAAAAAACAAGGTTCCCCTGACTCACACCCCAGAAACCAGTCCCGAGAGACATTTGGTGGTGAGGAGGGAAAGTGGTTTATTCAGGTGCAGGCAACCTGATAAATGGGGGAAGCTTGTTCCAAAACCCATCTGCTCATCTCAGTGCAGGCAGAGGATTTTATAAGGAGGGAGAGGCCAAACAGAGCAAAGAGGTCAGGGGGTGGGGCTTGAGAAATTCTCTACGTGCCGACAGGCACAGTCCAATCTGATAAGGATATTGAAGGGGTCAGGTGACAGTCCAGTGTGCGTCATCTTAGATTTTGTCCTCCTGGTTCTAAGGTGGAAGGTCATCAAATCTCCCTGAAAAGGAAAGGTCAGAGTTCATATCTCGTAAAATTAGTTCCTAGGATTCTTATATAAACATGCTGTTTATCTACATGATTCATTTTTAGTCATAGTCTGCATTTTCAAGAACAATGTGGAAAGAATGGTGAGGTGAGTTGTAATTCCCATGAATTACATGAATTCATGTAATTACTGTGACATGAATGCTGAGATGCTTCGTTCTTCTTCAAGGCGTTTCCGCCCTTTGAAAAAGTCAAATAGGCCCTAGATGGTTTGGCTCAGTGGATAGAGTGTTGGCCTGGAAACTGAAGGGTGCCTTGTTTGATTCTCAGTCAAGGGCACATGCCCAAGTTGTGGGCTTGATCCTCAGTGAAGGACATGTAGGAGTTAGCCTATCCATGATTCTCTCCTCATGGAGATTTCTGATTCTCTCCCTCTCCCTTCTTCTCTGAAATCAATGAAAATATATTTGAAAAAACAGGCCGATGCTCTATCCCCTGAGCCAAAGCAGTTCCGTCGCTAGGTCGTCTTCAAATGACTACCCACATAGTATGTTAAACCAAAAAAATATATAATATTTGAAAACAATGTGCATTTAATCTGAATGCAACACTTGCTTAATATTTCTCTAAATATTTTTATTGACATGGAGAGGAAGAAAAAGCAAGAGGGAGAGAAACATCCATGATGAGAGAGAATCAGGGATTGGCCGCATCCCACACACCCCCTAATGGGGATCGTGCCAGGAACCCAGGCATATGCCCTTGACCGGGAATCGAACCATGACCTCCTGGTTGAGAGGTTGACACTGAGCCACTGAACCACGCCGGCTGGGCCCGAAGTACAATATTTTGAAAATGAGAAACACACCTTAGTAACACATCCCTCACACTCCTCAGTCCTCAGCATTAAAGGTCTCAATGTGCATTTGCAAACACTTTCCTGAGAGGAGGATTTAATCAGCAGCCTGTAATCTCTTTAATGCAATTATGGATGCCCTGAAATTTATATCTGGTGCTCCCTCCAACTCCCTCTCCAGCTGCCTCTCTCTGGTACGATGCTAGTTGAATTTTATGATCGCTGGGCTTTGTTTGGGGTTGTTTAATGCTAAACACAACTAAAAACCCAAATGCATCCGTAGCTTGATGGTAAGCCATATACAGAGCCGAACCGAGCCTGCAGGAGACTAGCCCTGGCATTCCTCATAATTCCTCAAAGGAAAGAGATGATAAGCATAAAACACCCGTAATCCCCCAAACATTAATTCTCTTTTTGGCTACGGTAGTATCGGTTGAGGAACATCAGGAGATCAAACAATGAGAATGCTGGTCATTGAAATGAAACTATTTCTAGTGATGTCTTCGAGCCTTGTCTACCGGGCCTGGGCTAATATTTTCATGCTTAAGGTCTTTTTCTTTGTCTTTCTCTGTTTAATATATTTTTACTAGATGCCCGGTGCACCAATTCATTCACCAGTGTTGTCCCTAGGCCTGGCCTGCGGGGATTGGCCGATACTGGCTCTCTTCCATCCCCTTAGGGGTCCCAGATTACCAGAGGGCACAGGCCAGGCAAAGGGATCCCACCGGTGCACGATCAGGCACGGGGTGTGATGTGGGAGGTTGGCCAGCTGGGTCAGGACAGTAGGAGGGCTCCTGTGTTTGTCCAGCCCATCTCACTCAGTGCCGATCAGCCAGAACCCAGCAGCAAGCTGACCTACCAGTCTGAATGTCTTGTCCCTGGTGGTAAATGCATGTCATAGTGAGCAGCTGAGCAAACTTAGTGTATCATTTGCATATTATGCTTTGATTGGTTGAACAGATGACAAGTCGACTGGAATCTTAGCATATTAGGCTTTTATTCTATAGGATTGTTTTCATAAAATTCGAGAGCGGGAAACATCAATGATGAGAGAGAATCATACATCGGGTGCCTCCTGCACACCCCCTTCTGGGAACGAGCCCACAACGAGAGCATGTGCCCTTGACCACAATCGAACCTAGGACCTTCCAGAGTCCACAGTCCAATCCTCTATCCACTGAACCAAACAAGCTAGGGCTAATTGGTTAATTCTTGTCTGTGCCCTGACCAGGTATTGAACCGTGACCTCCAGGTTCATAGGTCATCACTCAACCACTGAGAAACACCAGCTTGGCTCAGAATGCTTTTATTGATTTGTGAGAGAGGGAGAGAGACTGAGAGAGACAGAGAGACAAAGATACAGCGAGAGAGAGAGAAAGGAGAAGAAGAAGAACAAGAACAATAAGAAGAAGAAGAAAGAAAGAGAGAGAGAGAGAAAGAGAGAGCGAGACATCAATGTTCCCTCCCACCAAGGCATTGGCCGAAAGAATAACAGAGCAGTGAACAGAAATATACAGGTCCCACCGGCAGGCAGGCAGGACTGGGGCTCATGTTGAGAAGAGCCAGGGACCCCATCAAGTGTCCTACGAGTTTTCCATCAGCTCAAGGATAATTTCCTCCACTCCATCCACCTTGACGTGGTGCATGATGCGCCAAAACCGGCCCATGGAGTCCATGTACTGGCTGCCAAGGTGGAGCGTCCACCACGAAGGCATTGTTCTGGAGGTCAGCGGGCTGGTGGTGAGTGCATTATGCTCACTAGGGTAGTCGACCTGGCACAACTGTACTTGCAGGTCACCTCCTCTCTTCATGACGAGATGCAGCCATGTGCGATGGTTCTCGTCCGCATACCGCGAGGGCCCCCGGATTTCCAGGCAGATGGGGTGCGAGTTGAGGTACACCTTCGATGGGAGCTCGGCCATGACACCTATGTGGTCCAAGGAGCAACAGTCACAGCTTCTCAGAGCCTCTTGCTACTTTGGTATTGGCATCGAAAGACAGGGGATGGGGTCTCCAAAGCATTTTACCTTGGCTTTTATCTTGACAGTTTTTATGGTTGTGTTTGTGGTTGCCATTGGTTCATTTTGCAAATTTATAAATCTCAACTTTTCTGTCTTTTGAGTTTTAGATCTCTCTCCTAGAACAAACAGTACAAAACGTACTTGAAGTAAAATTTGACTCTGTGAAGGTAACACGGTCCTATAGAATATTTAAAACATTTTTAAATGAGTTGACCTACATCCTTAGGTTCATTTCAGGGGTACACTCCAATGATTAGACGTTATATAATGGACTAAGAAATCATGGCATTAATCTCATACCCATCTGACAAGATACACAGTTTTTATAATATTACTAGAGGCTGAGTGCACAAAATTCATGCACTTGGCGGGGTCCCTCAGTCAGGTCTGCGTCCCCTCCCAGTCCGGAACCATTGAGGTATGTCCAACTGACGGCTTAGGCCCGATTTAGTACTGCTGGGGAGGCTCCCACCAAACCCTGTGCTAGGCAGCTGTGAGCCTGGCTTTTGGCTGATCGGTGCTCCTCCTGTGGGAGCACACTCACCACTGGTGGAGAGCACGTGACATGAGCATCTGCCCCCGGTGGTCAGTGTGTGTCATAGCGACCAGTTGTTCTGCCATTTGGTCGATTTGCATATTAGCCTTTTATTATATAGGATTGCATTGACTCAATGCTCTACTTTACTGTGCCATAACTATTCTTACGTTTTTTCAAAATAGTTTTACTGATTTCAGAGAGGAAGGGAGAGGGAGTGAAAGAAAGATCAATGATGACAGAGAATCATGGACTGGTTCCCTCCTGCATGACCCCTACTGGGGATCAAGACTGTGACCCGGGCATGTGCCATGACTGGGAATCGAATCCACATCTCCTGGTTCCTAGGTTTAAGCTAAACAACTGAGCCAGGACAGCCGGGCTCTTTCCTTTCCTTTCTTTCCTTTTCTTTTTTTTTATTAATTAAAACTTTGTACTTGGTTCAACTTTTCTTTTTGTCTTCACAACACCACCTTCTTTCTGATCATCTCAGAGGGAACTCAAACCGTAGAACAAGCCACCCCATGCAAATTATATGCAAATAATATGCTTTACCTTTAACAGCTAGCAGAGGGACAAAGCTAACGACAGCGTCCAGGTTGGCTTCTTAACAGCGGTCTTGCATCTCAAGTGCGGGTGAGAGAGGCAAGACCAAAATATTCAGGGACAAACAAATGCCTGGGATACTTGATCAGGCAAACAGGAAGCAAAGAGACAGGTGAAACAGCAAGTAGGATTCCCGCGGTCTCATAACATCACTTATAGAATGATTCCTCCCTTCCCCAAACCCCAGCTATGCTCTTGGCAAGAGCTGTATGGTTTTGCTGCTAAACCCACTTCAGTCCACAACGTCCAAATTCCTCCCTCAGATTAGACTCCATCCCCAATGATTCCTCCTCCTCCTCCCATCCATCTTTTTCTTACCTCTTCTTCTTGCTCTAAAGGCAAAGCACCATTCGTCACTCCTTTCCTCTGTGACCAGTCTCTGCTTCCCCCTGTCACCTGCAGAAGAATGAACATGACCATGATACACAGGTTCTAGGGAGTCCATGTACCAGGAATGTGTCCCAAAAAACAAGGTTCCCCTGACTCACACCCCAGAAACCAGTCCGGTAAGACAGGTGGTGGTGAGAAAGGAAAGAGTTTTATTCAGGTGCCGGCAACCTGAGAAGATGGGGGAAGCTCGTTCCAAAACCTATCTGCAAATTTCAGGGCAGGCAGAGGCTTTTATAAGGAGGGAGACGCCAAACAGAGCTAAGAGGTCAGGAGGCAGGGCTTGAGAAGTTCTCTACATGCCGACAGGCACAGTCCAATCTGATAAGTATCTTGCAAGTGGTCAGGTGTCGGTCCAGAGTGCGTCATCCTAGACTTTGTCCTCCTGGTTCTCAGGGTGAAGGTCAGCAAATCTTCCAGAACTGGAAAGGTCAGAGTTCATATCTTGTAAAATTAGTAGGTAGGATTCTTACACAAACATGCTGTTTACCTACAAGATTCATTATTAGTCAGAGTCCGCATTTACAGGAACAATGTGGAAAGAATAGGGAGGTGAGTTATAATTCCCACTGTGACAGGAGCACTGAGATGCTTCGTTCTTCTTCAAAGTATTTTCAGCCTGTTAAAAAGTCAAGTTATCCCTGGCCGGTTTGGCTCAGTGGATAGAGCGTCAGCATGCGAACTGAAGAGTACCGGATTGGATTCAAGTCAAGGGCACATACCCTGGTTGTGGGCTTGAACCCCAGTGAGGGACTTACAGGTTGCGGCCAATCCATGATTCTCTCATCATGGATGTTTCTAACTCTCTCCCTCTCCCTTCCTCTCTGAAATCAATAAAAATATATTTGAAAAAATAAAGGCTGACACTCTATCCACTGAGCCAAACATGCTCAGGCGCTATGTCTTCTTTATTTTTTTTATTTTTTAGGGGTTAAATTGTTTTTTTATTTTTTTATTGCTTAAAGCATTACAAAGGGTATTACATATGTGTCCTTTATTTCCCCAGCTTCCCCTACCCCCCAGTGTCTTATGTCCATTGGTTATACTCATATGCATGCATGCATACAAGTCCTTCAGTTGATCTCTTACCCACCTCCCTCCTGCCCCCCAACCCTCCCCGGCCTTCCTGCCGTCTTTAAATGACTACCCACCTGGTATGTGAAACCAAAAAAAATAATAAACTATTTTAAACAATGTGCATTTAATCTGAATGCCACACTTGTTTAATATTTTTAAAATGGTTTCATTGTCTCAGAGAGGAAGGAAAAGGAGAGGGAGAGAAACATCGATGATGAGAGAGAATCACGGATAGGCCGCCACCCAACGCTATCTTCTGGGGATCGAACCCGCAACCTGGGCATGTGCCCTTGACCGGGAATCGAACCGTGACCTTCTGGTTGATATGACCACACTCAGCCACTGAACCACCCCGGCTGGGCCCGAAGTGCAATATTTTGAATATGAAAAACACACCTTAGAATCACAACCCTCACGCTCCCCGGTCCTCAGGCTTAAAGGTCTCAATGTGCATTTGCAAACACTTTCTTGCAAGAGGAGAATTTAATCAGCTGTCAGTGATCTCTTTAATTCAAGCATGGATGACCAGAGACCCCCTCCTACCACCCATCTTGGGTGCGATGCTAGATAAATTATGTGATCGCTGCGCTTTGTTTGGGGATGTTTAGTGCTAAACACAATTAAAAATCCAAATGCATCCAGAACTAGACACTAAAGCCACACATAGAGCCGGTTCGAGCCTTCAGGAGATGTGCCCTGTCTTCCCTCGTAATTCCTCAAAGGAAAGAGATGATCAGCATAAAATACCCGTAATCCCCCAAACATTCTTTTTTTGGAGAGGGTAGTATTGGTTGATGAATCTCAGGAGATCAAACAATGAGAATGTTGGTCATTGAAATGAAAACTATTTCCAGTGATGTATTTGAGCCTTGCCTACCGGGGCTGGGCTATTATTTTCAAGCGAAAGGTCATTTCTTTGTCTTTCCCTGTTTAATATATTTTTACAAGAGGCCCTGTGCACGAATTGAGCACCAGTGTGGTGCCTCGGCTTCCCTGCGGGGATCGGCCGAAACTGCCTCTGTGACATCCCCCGAGGCCCCAGATAATTAGAGGCCACAGCGCCACAGGCAAGACAAGGGACCCCTGCAACATTAGATCTGTGGAAGGACACGGGAGGTTGGCCAGTGGGGGAGGGACCAAGGGAGGGCCCCAGGGTGTGTTCAGCCCGTCTGACTCAGTCCTGATCAGCCAGACCCGAGCAGCAAGCTGACCTACCAGTGTGCATGTCTTGTCTCTGGTGGTCAATGCATTTCATAGTGAGCAATTGAGCAACCTTAGTATATCATTTGCATATTATGCTTTGATTGGTTGAACAGATGACAGGTCGACTGGCCACATAGCATATTAGGATTTTATTATATAGGATTGATTTCATACAGGAAGGGAGTGAGAAACAGCATTGATGAGAGAGAATCATACATCGGGTGCCTCCTACATGCCCCCTACTGGGTATCGAGCCCACAAACAGAGCATGTGCCCTTGACCAGAATCCAACCTGGGACCTTCCAGAGTCCACAGTCCAACCCTCTATCCACTGAGCCAAACAAGCTAAGGCTCATTGGTTCATTCTTTTCTACGCCCTGACCAGGAATCAAACCGTGATCTTCAGGTTCAGAGGACGTACCTCAACCACTGAGAAACACCAGCTTGGCTCAAAATGATTTTATTGATTTGAGAGAGACGGAGAGAGACAGCGAGACAAAGAGACAGAGAGGGAGAGAAATAGGAGGAAGAAGAATAAGAACAAGAATAAGAACAAGATTAAGAACAAGAATAAGAACAAGAAGGGAGAGAATAAGAACAAGAAGAGAGAGAGACATCAATGTGCCCTCTCACCCAGGGCGTGGCAGATAGAACAGAAAAGCTTATTAAAATGGTGAACAGAACTATACTCTTCCCACCAGCAGGCCAGCAGGACTGGGGCTTAGGTTGACAAGAGCCAGGGACACCATCACATGTCCTAGGAGTTGTTTATCAGCTCCAGTATCATTTCCTCCACTCCATCCTCCTTGATGTGGTGTACGATGCGCCAGAACCGGCCCATGGTGTCCAGGTACTGGTTGCCAAGCTGGAGCATCCACCTCGAAGGCATGGTGCTCGAGGTCTGCAGGCTGGTGGTGCGGGGGATTTGCCCACTCGGGATGTCTTCCTGGCGCAACCGTACTTGCAGGCCACCTCCTGTCTCCAGGACAAAATGCAGCCACCTGCGATGCTTATCGTCCGTGTACACCGAGGGCACACGGATCCTCAGGCACATGGGGTGCAAGGTGAGGTGCACCTTCGACGGGAGCTCGGCCATGACCCCTCCGTGGTCCAAGGAGCAAAAGCCACAGCTTCTCAGAGCCTCTGGCTACTTCGGTCCTGGTATCGAAACACAGGAGATGGTAACTCCAAACGCATTTTACCTCGGCTTTTATCTTAATAGTTTTTTCGGTTGTGTTTGTGGTTGCCTTTGGTTTATTTTGCAAATTTATAAATCTCAATTCTTCTTTCTTTTTAGGTTTAGATCTCTCTTCTCAAACACCATGTACAAAATGTACTTAATGTAAAATATGATTCTATGAATATAACATGGTTGTATGGAATTTTTAAACACTTTTGAAATGACAGTTGACATAGAAAATTAGGTTCATTTCAGGGGTACACCCCAATGATAAGACATTATATAATGGACTGAGAAATCATGCAATTAATGTCATACCCATCTGACATCATACACTGTTATGATAATAGTACTAGAGCCTCATTGCACCAATTTTATGCACTTAGCGGAGTCCCACAGCCAACCCTGCTGCCTCTCCCTGTCCAGGACCCCTTGAGGGATGTCCAACTGACGGCTTAGGCCCCCTTCAGTGCTGCCCTTCAGGCTCCCACTCCCCCCCTGTGCTCATCAGCTGTGAGCCTGGCTTTTGGCTGAGCAATGCTCCCCCTTTGGGAGCGAAATGACCACTGGTGGACAGCTCCTGCCATGAGAATCTGCCCCCAGTGGTCAATGGGTGTCATAACGACCAGTCGTTCTGCCATTTTTTGATTTGCATATTAGCCTTTTATTATATAGGATTGACTCAATGATCTACTTGACAGTGCCATGACTATTCTTTCGTTTTTTTCGTATAGTTTTACTGATTTCAGAGAGGAAGGGATAGGTAGAGAAAGTGAAAGATCAATGATGACAGAGAATCACGGATTGGCTAACTCCTGCACGCACCCTACTGGGGATCAAGACTGTAACCCGGGCATGTGCCATCACTGGGAATGGAATCAACATCTCCTGGTTTCTTGGTTTAAGGTAAACAACTGAGCCATGCCACCCGGGCTCTTTTCATTACTTTCCTTTTCTCTTCATTTCTTTCCTTTTATTTTCTCTTAATTAAAACTTTGTTGTTGGTTCAACTTTTCTTTTTGCCCTGACAACACCACCTTCTTTCTGATCATCTCAGAGGAAACTCACAAACCATAGAACAAGCCAACCCGAGCATATAATATACTTTACCTTTAACAGCTGGCAGAGGAAAAAGGCTAAGGTCTGCGTCCAGGTGAGCTTCTTAACAGCAGTCTTGCTTCTCAAGTGCTGGTGAGAGAGGAAAGACCAAAATAATCAGGGAGAGACAGACACCTGAGATAGCTTGTCGGGAAAACAGGAAGCAGAATGAGAGGTGAAACAGCACGTAGGATTACTGAGGTCTCATGACATCACTTATAGAATGATCTCTCCCTTCCCCAAACCTCAGCCATGCTCTTGGCAAGAGCTGTATGGTTTTGCTGCTAAACTCACTTCAGTCCAAAAAGTCCAAATTCCTCCCTCATATTAGACTCCATCCCCAATCCTTCCTCCTCCTCCTGCTCCTTCTCCTCTCTTCCATCATTTTCTTACCTGTTCTTCTTGCTCTGAAGGCAAAGCACCGTTCTTCGCTCCTTTTTCTGTGACCAGTCTCTGCTTCCCCCAGTCACCTGCAGAAGAAAAAACATGACCATGATACACCTCTTCCATGGAGTCCATGTATTAGGAATGTGTCCAGAAAAACAAGGTTCTCCTGACTCACACTCCAGAAACCAGTCCCGTGATACAGGTGGTGGTGAGGAAGGAAAGAGGTTTATTCAGGAGCCAGCAAGCTGAGAAGAAGGAGGAAGCTCGTCTCAAATCCTATCTGCAGATCTCAGTGCAGGCAGAGGCTTTTATAAGGAGGGAAACGCCAAACAGAGCAAAGAGGTCAGTGGGCGTTGCTTGAGAATTTCCATACGTGCCCACAGGCACAGTCTAATCTGATAAAGATCTTTCAAGTGGTCAGGTGTCTGTCCAGTGTGTGTCATCCTAGCCTTTGTCCTCCAGGTTCTAAGGTTGAAGGTCAACAAATCTCCCAGAACTGGGAAGGTCAGAGTTCATATCTTGTAAAATTAGTTCCTTGTATTGTAATACAAACATGTTGTTTACCTACAAGCTTCATTATTAGTCAGAGTCTGCATTAACAGGAACAATGTGGTAAGAATGGTGAGGTGAGTTGTAAATACCACTGTGTCGAATGCTGAGATGCTTGGTTCTTCTTCAAGGCATTTGAACACTTTGCAAAAGGCAAATTGGGTCTGGATAGTTTGGCTAAGTGGATAGAGTATTGGCCTGCAAATTGAAGGGTCCCGGGTTCAATTTTCTACAAGGGCACATGCCCATGTTGTGGACTTGATCCCTAGTGAGGGACTTGTAGTAGGCAGCCGATCCATGATTCTCTCATCATGGATGTTTCTAACTCTCTCCCTCTCCCTTCCTCTCTGATATCAACAAAAATATATTTGAAAAAAAGGCCGACACTCTATCCACTGAGCCAAACCAGCTCATGGACTAGTTCAAATTTTAATAGATTTCCCACGTGGTATGTTAAACCAAAAAAATAATAAACTGTTTTAAAACAATATGCATTTAATCTGGATCCAATACTTGCATATTATTTTTTCAATGTTTTTATTGCCTCAGAGAGGAAGGAAAAGCAAGAGAGAGAGAAACATCCATGATGAGAGAGAATAACAGATCAGCCGCCTCCCACACACCCCCTACTGGCGATCAAGCATTCAACCCTGGCATGTGCCCTTGACGGGGAATCAAACCGTGATCTCCTGGTTCAGAGGTCCACGCTCAACCACTCCACCACCCAGGATGGGCCCAAAGTGCAATATTTTGAATATGAGAAACACACCTTAGAAACACATTTTTCAGGCTCCCCAGTCCTCAGCCTTAAAGGTCTGAATTTGCATTTGTAAACACTTTCCTGCAAGAGGAGAATTTATGTTTTTAAAAAAATTTTTAATTGTTTTTCTACAGAGGAAGGGAGAGGGAGAGAGAGCAAGAAACATCGATGAGAGAAAAACATCCATCAGCTGCCTCCTGCACACTCCCTACTGGGGATATGCCCACAGCCAAGGTACATGCCCTTGACCGGAATTGAACCTGGACCATTCAGTCTGCACGGTGTCGCTTATCCACTGAGCCAAACCAGTTAGGGCCTGCAAAAGGAGAATATAAACAGCAGTCAGTGATCTCTTTAATGCAAGCTGGGATGCCTTGAAATTGATTTCTGGGTCTCCCTCCAGCTCCCTCTTCAGCCGCCTCTCTCTGGTGCGATGCTAGATGAATTTTATGATAGCTGGGCTTTGTTTGGGGCTGTTTAGTGCTAAACTCAAATAAAAACCCAAATTCATTCAGAGCTAGATGCTAAAGCCATACACAGAGCCGACTCGAGCCTTCAGGAGATGAGCCCAGGCATCCCTGGTAATTCCTCAAAGGAAAGAGATGAGCATAAAACACCAGTAATCCCCCAAACATTCGCTCTTTTTTTTTCGAGAGGGTCTTATAGGTTGACGAACCTCAGGAGATCAAAAAATGAGAACGCTGGTCATTGAAATGAAAACTATTTCCAGTGATGTCTTCCAGCCTTGTCTACCGGGCTAGGCTAATATTTTCAGGCTTAAGGTCTTTTTCCTTTTCTTTGTCGGTTTTATATATTTTTTCTAGGGGCCTGGTGCACGAATTCATGCACCAGGGTGGTGCCTTTGCCTGGCCTATAAGGATTGGCCGAAAGTGGCTCTGTGACATCCCCCGAGGGTTCCCATACTACGGGAGGGCACAGGACAGGCCAAGGGACACCACCGGTGCACTATCAGGTACAGGGTGGGATGAGGAAGTTTAGCCAGCTGGGGAGGGACTATGGGCGTACTCCAGGACCTGTCGAGCCCGACTCACTCAGTTCCAATCAGCCAGACCCCAGCAGAACGCTGACCTACCAGTCTGAATGTCTTGTCCCTGGTTGCCAATGCATGTCATAGTGAGCAGTTGAGCAACCTTAGTATATCATTTGCATATTATGCTTTGATTGGTTGAACAGATGACCAGTCGAGTGGACACTTCGCATATTAGGCTTTTATTATATAGGTTTCATTTCATCCAGGAAGGGAGAGAGAAACATCAATGTTGAGAGAGAATCATACATCGGTTGCCTCCTGCACTCCTCCTACTGGCGATCGAGCTTCCAACCAGAGTGTGTGCCCTTGACCTTCAGAGTCCAGAGTCCAACTCTCTATCCAATGAGCCAAACAAGCTAGGGCTCATTGGTTAATTCTTGTGTGTGCCCTGACCAGGAATGGAACCCTGACCTCCATGTTCATAGGTCGTGCTTCAACCACTGAGAAACACCAGCTTGGCTCAAAATGTTTTTACTGATTTGAGAGAGTTTGAGAGAGACAGCAAGACAAAGAGACAGAGAGAGAGAGAAAAAGGAGAAGGAAGAAGAAGAACAAGAAGAACAAGAATAAGAACAAGAATAAGAACAAGAAGAGAGAGAGAGAGAGAGAGAGAGAGAGAGAGAGAGAGACATCAATGTGCCCTCTCACCCAGGGTGTGGCAGATAGAACAGCAAAGCTTATTATAATAGTGAACAGAACTATACTCGTCCCACCAGCAGGCCAGCAGGACTGGGGCTTAGGTTGACAAGAGCCAGGGACACCATCACATGTCCTAGGAGTTGTTTATCAGCTCAAGCATCATTTCCTCCACTCCATTCTCCTTGATGTGGTGTATGATGCCCCAGAACCGGCCCATGGAATCCAGGTACCGGCTGCCAAGCTGGATCGTCCACCACGAAGGCATGGTGCTCAATGTCCGGGGGCTGATGGTGAATGCGATATGCTCACTTGTGATGTCATTCTGGAGCAACCGTACTTGCAGGACACCTCCTGTACTCAGGTCAAAATGCAGCCATGTGCGCTGCTTATCATCCTTGTACACCGATGGCCCACAAATACTCAGGAAGAGGGGGTGCAAGGTGAGGTGCACCTTCGATGGGAGCTCGGCCATGACCCCTCCGTGGTCCAAGGAGCAAAAGCCACAGCTTCTCAGAGCCTCTCGCTACTTCGGTCCTGGTATCGAAAGACAGGGGATTGGGTCTCCAAACGCATTTTACCTCGGCTTTTATCTTAATGGTTTTTATGGTTGTGTTTGTGGTTGCCTTTGGTTTATTTTGCAAATTTATAAATCTCAATTCTTCTTTCTTTTTAGGATTAGATCTCTCTTCTCAAACACCATGTACAAAATGTACTTAATGTAAAATATGATTCTATGAATATAACATGGTTGTATGGAATTTTTAAACACTTTTTATATGACAGTTGAAATAGAAAATTAGGTTCATTTCAGGGGTACACCCCAATGATAAGACATTATATAATGGACTAAGAAATCATGCAATTAATGTCATACCCATCTGACATCATACACTGTTATTATAATAGTACTAGAGCCTCATTGCACCAATTCTATACACTTAGGGGAGTCCCACAGCCAACCCTGCTGCCTCTCCGTGTCCAGGACCCCTTGAGGGATGTCCAACTAACGGCTTAGGCCCCCTTCAGTGCTGCAGTGGAAGCTCCCACTCCCCCCCGTGCTCATCAGCTGTGAGCCTGGCTTTTGGCTGAGCAATGCTCCCCCTTTGGGAGCGAACTGACCACCGGTGGACAGCTCCTGCCATAAGAATCTGCCCCCAGTGGTCAGTGCATGTCATAGCGACCAGTCGTTCTGTCATTTTTTTATTTGCATATTAGCCTTTTATTATATAGGATTGACTCAATGCTCTACTTGACTGTGCCATGACTGTTCTTTCGTTTTTTTCGTATAGTTTTACTGATTTCAGAGAGGAAGGGATAGGTAGAGAAAGTGAAAGATCAATGATGACAGAGAATCACGGATTGGTTAATTCCTGCATGCCCCCTCCTGGGGATCAAGACTGTAACCCGGGCATGTGCCATCACTGGGAATCGAATCAACATCTCCTGGTTCCTAGGTTTAAGGTAAACAACTGTGCCATGCCACTCAGGCTCTTTTCATTACTTTCCTTTTCTCTTCATTTCTTTCCTTTTATTTTCTCTTAATTAAAACTTTGTAGTTGGTTCAACTTTTCTTTTGTCCTGACACCACCTTCTTTCTGATCATCTCAGAGGGAACTCACAAACCATAGAACAAGCCACCCCGAGCATATAATATGCTTTACCTTTAACAGCTGGCAGAGAAACAAGGCTAAGGTCTGCGTCCAGGTGAGCTTCTTAAGAGCAGTCTTGCTTCTCAAGTGCTGGTGAGAGAGGAAAGACCAAAATAATCAGGGAGAGACAGACACCTGGGATAGCTTGTCGGGAAAACAGGAAGCAGAATGAGAGGTGAAACAGCACGTAGGATTACTGAGGTCTCAGGACATCACTTATAGAATGATCTCTCCCTTCCCCAAACCTCAGCCATGCTCTTGGCAAGAGCTGTATGGTTTTGCTGCTAAACTCACTTCAGTCCACAAAGTCCAAATTCCTCCCTCAGATTAGACTCCATCCCCAATCCTTCCTCCTCCTCCTGCTCCTTCTCCTCTCTTCCATCATTTTCTTACCTGTTCTTCTTGCTCTGAAGGCAAAGCACCGTTCTTCGCTCCTTTTTTCTGTGACCAGTCCCTGCTTCCCCCAGTCACATGCAGAAGAAAGAACATGGCCATGATACACCTCTTCCATGGAGTCCATGTATAAGGAATGTGTCTAGAAAAACAAGGTTCTCCTGACTCACACTCCAGAAACCAGTCCCGTGATACAGGTGGTGGTGAGGAAGGAAAGAGGTTTATTCAGGAGCCAGCAAGCTGAGAAGAAGGAGGAAGCTCGTCCCAAATCCTATCTGCAGATCTCAGTGCAGGCAGAGGCTTTTATAAGGAGGGAGAGGCCAAACAGAGCAAAGAGGTCAGTGGGCGTTGCTTGAGAATTTTCATACGTGCCCACAGGCACAGTCTAATCTGATAAGGATCTTGCAAGTGGTCAGGTGTCTGTCCAGTGTGTGTCATCCTAGCCTTTGTCCTCCAGGTTCTAAGGTTGAAGGTCAACAAATCTCCCAGAACTGGGAAGGTCAGAGTTCATATCTTGTAAAATTAGTTCCTTGGATTGTAATACAAACATGTTGTTTACCTACAAGCTTCATTATTAGTCAGAGTCTGCATGAAGAGGAACAATGTGGTAAGAATGGTGAGGTGAGTTGTAAATACCACTGTGTCGAATGCTGAGATGCTTGGTTCTTCTTCAAGGCATTTGAACACATTTCAAAAGGCAAATTGGCTCTGGATAGTTTGGCTAAGTGGATAGAGTTTTGGCCTGCGAATTGAAGGGTCCCGGGTTCAATTTCCTACAAGGGCACATGCCCATGTTGTGGACTTGATCCCTAGTGAGGGACTTGCAGTAGGCAGCCGATCCATGATTCTCTCATCATGGATGTTCCTAACTCTCTCCCTCTCCCTTCCTCTCTGATATCAATAAAAATATATTTGAAAAAAAAGGACGACACTCTATCCACTGAGCCAAACAGCTCAGGGGCTAGTTCAAATTTAAATAGATTTCCCACCTGGTATGTTAAACCAAAAAATAATAAACTGTTTTACAACAATATGCATTTAATCTGGATCCAATACTTGCATATTATTTTTTCAATGTTTTTATTGACTCAGAGAGGAAGGAAAAGCGAGAGAGAGAGAAACATCCATGATGAGAGAGAATAACAGATCAGCCGCCTCCCACACACCCCCTACTGGCAATCAAGCATTCAACCCGGGCATGTGCCCTTGACGGGGAATCAAACCGTGATCTCCTGGTTCATAGGTCTATGCTCAACCACTCCACCACCCCGGATGGCCTCAAAGTATAATATTTTGAATATGAGAAACACACCTTAGGAAAACATTTTTCACACTCCCCAGTCCTCAGCCTTAAAGGTCTGAATTTGCATTTGTAAACACTTTCCTGCAAGAGGAGAATTTATTTTTTTAAAAAATTTTTAATTGTTTTTCTACAGAGGAAGGGAGAGGGAGAGAGAGCAAGAAACATCGATGAGAGAAAAACATCCATCAGCTGCCTCCTGCACACTCCCTACTGGGGATATGCCCACAGCCAAGGTACATGCCCTTGACCGGAATCGAACCTGGACCATTCAGTCTGCACGCCGTCGCTCTATCCACTGAGCCAAACCAGTTAGGGCCTGCAAAAGGAGAATATAAACAGCAGTCAGTGATCTCTTTAATGCAACCATGGATGCCTTGAAATTGATTTCTGGGGCTCCCTCCAGCTCCCTCTTCAGCCGCCTCTCTCTGGTGCGATGCTAGATGAATTTTATGATCGCTGGGCTTTGTTTGGGGCTGTTTAGTGCTAAACTCAAATAAAAACCCAAATTCATTCAGAGCTAGATGCTAAAGCCATACACAGAGCCGACTCGAGCATTCAGGAGATGAGCCCAGGCATCCCTAGTAATTCCTCAAAGGAAAGAGATGATGAGCATAAAACACCAGTAATCCCCCAAACATTCGCTTTTTTTTTTTTCGAGAGGGTCTTATAGGTTGACGAACCTCAGGAGATCAAAAAATGAGAACGCTGGTCATTGAAATGAAAACTATTTCCAGTGATGTCTTCAAGCCTTGTCTACCGGGCTAGGCTTATATTTTCAGGCTTAAGGTCTTTTTCCTTTTCTTTGTCGGTTTTATATACTTTTTCTAGGGGCCTGGTGCACGAATTCATGCACCAGGGTGGTGCCTTGGCCTGGCCTATAAGGATTGGCCGAAAGTGGCTCTGTGACATCCCCCGAGGGTTCCCATACTACGGGAGGGCACAGGACAGGCCAAGGGACACCACCGGTGCACTATCAGGTACAGGGTGGGATGAGGAAGTTTAGCCAGCTGGGGAGGGACTATGGGCTTACCCCAGGACCTGTCGAGCCCGACTCACTCAGTTCCAATCAGCCAGACCCCAGCAGAACGCTGACCTACCAGTCTGAATGTCTTGTCCCTGGTTGCCAATGCATGTCATAGTGAGCAGTTGAGCAACCTTAGTATATCATTTGCATATTATGCTTTGATTGGTTGAACAGATGACCAGTCGAGTGGACACTTTGCATATTAGGCTATTATTATATAGGTTTCATTTCATCCAGGAAGGGAGAGAGAAACATCAATGTTGAGAGAGAATCATACATCGGTTGCCTCCTGCACTCCTCCTACTGGCGATCGAGCTTCCAACCAGAGTGTGTGCCCTTGACCTTCAGAGTCCAGAGTCCAACTCTCTATCCAATGAGCCAAACAAGCTAAGGCTCATTGGTTAATTCTTGTGTGTGCCCTGACCAGGAATGGAACCCTGACCTCCATGTTCATAGGTCGTGCTTCAACCACTGAGAAACACCAGCTTGGCTCAAAATGTTTTTACTGATTTGAGAGAGTGGGAGAGAGACAGCAAGACAAAGAGACAGAGAGAGAGAGAAAAAGGAGAAGGAAGAAGAAGAACAACAAGAAGAACAAGAATAAGAACAAGAATAAGAACAAGAAGAGAGAGAGAGAGAGAGAGAGTGAGAGAGAGAGAGAGAGAGACATCAATGTGCCCTCTCACCCAGGGTGTGGCAGATAGAACAGCAAAGCTTATTAAAATGGTGAACAGAACTATACTCGTCCCACCAGCAGGCCAGCAGGACTGGGGCGTAGGTTGACAAGAGCCAGGGACACCATCACATATCCTAGGAGTTGTTTATCAGCTCAAGCATCATTTCCTCCACTCCATCCTCCTTGATGAAGTGTACGATGCGCCAGAACTGGCCCATGGAGTCCAGGTACCGTCTGCCAAGATGGAGCGTCCACCACGAAGGCATGGAGCTGGATGTCTCTGGCCTGATGGTGAGTGCGATATGCCCACTGGGGATTTTTTCCTGGCGCAACCGTACTTGCAGGACACCTCCTGTCTCCATGACGAGATGCAGCCACGTGCACTTCTTATCGTCCTCATACACCGAGGGCCCACGGATCCTCAGGCAGATGGGGTGGGAGTTGAGGTGCACCTTCGACGGGAGCTCGGCCATGACCCCTCCGTGGTCCAAGGAGCAAAAGCCACAGCTTCTCAGAGCCTCTCGCTACTTCGGTCCTGGTATGGAAAGAGAGGAGATGGTATCTCCAAACGCTTTTACCTCGGCTTTTATCTTAATAGTTTTTACGGTTGTGTTTGTGGTTGCCTTTGGTTTATTTTGCAAATTTATTAATCTCAATTCTTCTTTCTTTTTAGTTTATGATCTCTCTTCTCGTACACCATGAACAAAATGTACTTAATGTAAAATATGATTCTATGAATATAACATGGTTATATGGAATTTTTAAACACTTTTGAAATGACAGTTGACATAGAAAATTAAGTTCATTTCAGGGGTACACCCCAATGATAAGACATTATATAATGGACTAAGAAATCATGCAATTAATGTCATACCCATCTGACATCATACACTGTTATTATAATAGTACTAGAGCCTCATTGCACCAATTCTATACACTTAGGGGAGTCCCACAGCCAACCCTGCTGCCCCTCCCTGTCCAGGACCCCTTGAGGGATGTCCAACTGACGGCTTAGGCCCCCTTCAGTGCTGCCGTTCAGGCTCCCACTCCCCCCCCCTGTGCTCAAGAGCTGTGAGCCTGGCTTTTGGCTGAGCAATGCTCCCCCTTTGGGAGCGAAATGACCACCGGTGGACAGCTCCTGCCATGAGAATCTGCCCCTGGTGGTCAGTGCATGTCATAGCGACCAGTCATTCTGCCATTTTTTTGATTTGCATTTTAGCCTTTTATTATATAGGATTGACTCAATGCTCTACTTGACTGTGCCATGACTATTCTTTCGTTTTTTTCGTATACTTTTACTGATTTCAGAGAGGAAGGGATAGATAGAGAAAGTGAAAGATCAATGATGACAGAGAATCACGGATTGGTTAACTCCTGCATGCCCCCTACTGGGGATCAAGACTGTAACCCGGGCATGTGCCATCACTGGGAATCGAATCCACATCTCCTGGTTTCTTGGTTTAAGGTAAACAACTGAGCCATGCCACCCGGGCTCTTTTCATTACTTTCCTTTTCTCTTCATTTCTTTCCTCTTATTTTTTCTTAATTCAAACTTTGTAGTTGGTTCAACTTTTCTTTTGTCCTGACAACACCACCTTCTTTCTGATCATCTCAGAGGGAACTCACAAACCATAGAACAAGCCACCCCGAGCATATAATATGCTTTACCTTTAACAGCTGGCAGAGAAACAAGGCTAAGGTCTGCGTCCAGGTGAGCTTCTTAACAGAGATCTTGCTTCTCAAGTGCTGGTGAGAGAGGAAAGACCAAAATAATCAGGGAGAGACAGACACCTGGGATAGCTTGTCGGGAAAACAGGAAGCATAATGAGAGGTGAAACAGCACGTAGGATTACTGAGGTCTCAGGACATCACTTATAGAATGATCTCTCCCTTCCCCAAACCTCAGCCATGCTCTTGGCAAGAGCTGTATGGTTTTGCTGCTAAACTCACTTCAGTCCACAAAGTCCAAATTCCTCCCTCAGATTAGACTCCATCCCCAATCCTTCCTCCTCCTCCTGCTCCTTCTCCTCTCATCCATCATTTTCTTACCTGTTCTTCTTGCTCTGAAGGCAAAGCACCGTTCTTCGCTCCTTTTTTCTGTGACCAGTCCCTGCTTCCCCCAGTCACCTGCAGAAGAAAGAACATGGCCATGATACACCTCTTCCATGGAGTCCATGTATAAGGAATGTGTCTAGAAAAACAAGGTTCTCCTGACTCACACTCCAGAAACCAGTCCCGTGATACAGGTGGTGGTGAGGAAGGAAAGAGGTTTATTCAGGAGCCAGCAAGCTGAGAAGAAGGAGGAAGCTCGTCCCAAATCCTATCTGCAGATCTCAGTGCAGGCAGAGGCTTTTATAAGGAGGGAGAGGCCAAACAGAGCAAAGAGGTCAGTGGGCGTTGCTTGAGAATTTCCATACGTGCCCACAGGCACAGTCTAATCTGATAATGATCTTGCAAGTGGTCAGGTGTCTGTCCAGTGTGCGGCATCTTAGCCTTTGTCCTCCAGGTTCTACGGTTGAAGGTCAACAAATCTCCCAGAACTGGGAAGGTCAGAGTTCATATCTTGTAAAATTAGTTCCTCGGATTGTAATACAAACTTGTTGTTTACCTACAAGCTTCATTATTAGTCAGAGTCTGCATTAAGAGGAACAATGTGGTAAGAATGGTGAGGTGAGTTGTAAATGCCACTGTGTCGAATGGTGAGATGCTTGGTTCTTCTTCAAGGCATTTGAACACTTTGCAAAAGGCAAATTGGCTCTGGATAGTTTGGCTAAGTGGATAGAGTATTGGCCTGCGAATTGAAGGGTCCCGGGTTCAATTTCCTACAAGGGCACATGCCCATGTTGTGGACTTGATCCCTAGTGAGGGACTTGCAGTAGGCAGCCGATCCATGATTCTCTCATCATGGATGTTTCTAACTTTCTCCCTCTCCCTTCCAGTCTTAGATCAATAAAAATATATTTGAAAAAAAAGGCCGACACTCTATCCACTGAGCCAAACCAGCTCAGGGGCTAGTTCAAATTTTAATAGATTTCCCACCTGGTATGTTAAACCAAAAAAATAATAAACTGTTTTAAAACAATATGCATTTAATCTGGATCCAATACTTGCATATTATTTTTTCAATGTTTTTATTGACTCAGAGAGGAAGGAAAAGCAAGAGAGAGAGAAACATCCATGATGAGAGAGAATAACAGATCAGCCGCCTCCCACACACCCCCTACTGGCGATCAAGCATTCAACCCGGGCATGTGGCCTTGACGGGGAATCAAACCGTGATCTCCTGGTTCATAGGTCTACGCTCAACCACTCCACCACCCCGGATGGGCCCAAAGAGTAATATTTAGAATATGAGAAACACACCTTAGAAACACATTTTTCAGGCTCCCCAGTCCTCAGCCTTAAAGGTCTGAATTTGCATTTGTAAACACTTTCCCGCAAGAGGAGAATTTATGTTTTTTAAAAAATTTTTAATTGTTTTCCTACAGAGGAAGGGAGAGGGAGAGAGAGCAAGAAACATCGATGAGGGAAAAACATCCATCAGCTGCCTCCTGCACACTCCCTACTGGGGATATGCCCACAGCCAAGGTACATGCCCTTGACCGGAATCAAACCTGGACCATTCAGTCTGCACGCCGTCGCTTATCCACTGAGCCAAACCAGTTAGGGCCTGCAAAAGGAGAATATAAACAGCAGTCAGTGATCTCTTTAATGCAAGCTTGGATGCCTTGAAATTGATTTCTGGGGCTCCCTCCAGCTCACTCTTCAGCCGCCTCTCTCTGGTGCGATGCTAGATGAATTTTATGATAGCTGGGCTTTGTTTGGGGCTGTTTAGTGCTAAACTCAAATAAAGACCCAAATTCATTCAGAGCTAGATGATAAAGCCATACACAGAGCTGACTCGAGCCTTCAGGAGACGAGCCCAGGCATCCCTAGTAATTCCTCACAGGAAAGACATGATCAGCATAAAACACCCATAACAACCCTAACATTCATTCTTTTTTTGGAGAGGGTAGTATTGGTTGAGAAACCTCAGGAGATCAAAAAATGAGAACGCTGGTCATTGAAATGAAAACTATTTCCAGTGATGTCTTCCAGCCTTGTCTACCGAGGCTGGGCTAATATTTTCAGGCTTAAGGTCTTTTTCCTTTTCTTTGTCTGTTTAATATATTTTTTCTAGGGGCCTGGTGCACGAATTCATGCACCAGGGTGGTGCCTTTGCCTGGCCTACAAGGATTGGCCGAAAGTGGCTCTCTGACATCCCCCGAGCATTCCCAGACTACGGGAGGCACAGGACATCCAAGGGACCCCACCGGTGCACTATCAGGTACAGGGTGGGATGAGGGAGTTTAGCCAGCTGGGGAGGGACCATGGGAGGGCTCCAGGATGTGTTGAGCCCATCTCACTCAGTTCCAATCAGCCAGACCCCAGCAGAACGCTGACCTACCAGTCTGAGTGTCTTGTACCTGGTTGCCAATGCATGTCATAGTGAGGAGTTGAGCAACCTTAGTATATCATTTGCATATTATGCTTTGATTGGTTGAACAGATGACCAGTCGAGTGGACACTTCACGTATTAGGCTTTTATTATATAGGTTTCATTTCATCCAGGAAGGGAGAGAGAAACATCAATGTTGAGAGAGAATCATACATCGGTTGCCTCCTGCACTCCTCCTACTGGCGATCGAGCTTCCAACCAGAGTGTGTGCCCTTGACCTTCAGAGTCCAGAGTCCAACCCTCTATCCAATGAGCCAAACAAGCTAGGGCTCATTGGTTAATTCTTGTGTGTGCCCTGACCAGGAATGGAACCCTGACCTCCATGTTCATAGGTCGTTCTTCAACCACTGAGAAACACCCAGCTTGGCTCAAAATGTTTTTATTGATTTGAGAGAGAGGGAGAGAGACAGAGAGAGAGAGAGAGAGAGACAAAAGAGATAGAGAAAGAGAGAGAGAGATAAGAGAGAGAGAGAAACGAGGAGGAGAAAAAGAGAAGAAAGAAGAAGAAGAAGAAGAAGAAGAAGAAGAAGAAGAAGAAGAAGAAGAAGAAGAAGAAAAGAAGAAGAAGAAGAAGAAGAAGAAGAAGAAGGAGAATAAGAAGAAGAAGAAGAAGAAGAAGAAGAAGAAGGAGAACAACAACAACAACAACAACAACAACAGGAAGAACAAGAACAGAAAAAAAAGAACAAGAAGAGAGAGAGAGAGAGAGAGAGAGAGAGAGAGATCAATGTGCCGTCATACCCAGGGGGTGGCAGATAAAACAACAGAGCTTATTAAAAAGGTGAACAGATCTATACACGTTCCACTGGCAGGAAAGCAGGACTGGCGCTGAGGTTGACAATTGCCAGGGACCCCAACACGTGTCCTACAAGTCTTCCATCAAATCAAGGATCATTTCCTCTACACCATTCTCCTTGATGTTGTGCAGGATGGGCCAGAACCGACACATGCAGTTCAGGTACTGGCTGCCAGTATGTAGCGTCCACATGGAAGGCAGGGTGCTCGAGGTCAGCGGGCTGGTGTTGAGTGCGATATGCCCACTGGGGATGTCTTCCTGGCACAACCGTACTTGCAGGACACCTCCTGTCTCCAGGACAAGATGCAGCCATGTGCGCTGTTTCTCGTCCTGGTACACCGAGGGCCCACGGATCCTCAGGCACATGGGGTGCAAGGTGAGGTGTACCTTCGATGGGAGGTCGGCCATAACCCCTCCATGGTCCAAGGAGCAACAGCCACAGCTTCTCAGAGCCTCTTGCTACTTCGGTCCTGGTATCGAAAGACAGGGGATCGGGTCTCCAAATGCATTTTACCTCGGCTTTTATCTTTATGGATTTTAAGGTTTTGTATGTGGTTGCCTTTGGTTCAAATTTGTAAACCTCAACTTTTCTTTCTTTTCTAGCTTTAGATCTCTCTTCTAGAACAAACTGTACTAATCATACTTAATGTAATATATTACTCTGTGAATATAACATGGTCCTATATAATTTTTAAACACTTTTTAAAATGAGAGTTGACATAGAACATTAGGTTCATTTCAGGGGTACACCCCAATGATTAGACATGATATAATGGACTAAGAAATCATGCAATTAATCATATTCCCATTTGACACCATACACAGTTGTTATAATTTAACTAGAGGCTCAGTGCCCAAAATTTATGCACTCAGGGAGGTCTCTCAGCCAACCTAGCGGCCTCTCCCAGTCCGGAACCCCTTGAGGGATGTCCAACTGACAGCTTAGGCCCACTTCAGTGCTGCTGTGGAGGCTCCCACTACTCCCCTATGCTCAGCAGCTATGAGCCTGGCTTTTGGCTGAGCGGTGCTCCCCCTTTGGGAGCGCACTGACCACCTGTGGACAGATCCTGCCATGAGTATCTGCCCCTGGTGGTCAGTGCGTGTCATAGCGACCAGTGGTTCTACTGTTTTTTTAATTTGCATATTAGCCTTTTATTATATAGGATTGACTCAATGCTCTACTTTGCTGTGCTATGACTATTCTTTCGTTTTTTTCATATAGTTTTACTGATTTCAGAGAGGGAGGGAGAGGGAGAGAAATAGAAAGATCAATGATGAAGGGAATCACGGATTGGTTGCCTCCTGCATGCCACCTACTGGGGTTCAAGACTGTAACCCGGGCATGTGCAATGACTGGGAATCGAGTCGCCATCTCCTGGTTCCTAGGTTTAAGCTAAACAACTGAGCCATGCCAGCCGGGCTCATTACTCTGCTTTTCTTTTCTTTTCTTTTCTTTTCTTTTCTTTTCTTTTCTTTTCTTTTCTTTTCTTTTCTCTTCTTTTCTTTTTTCTCTTATCTTCTTTTTTTTTTCATTTCTTTTCTTTTTTCTTTTCTTTTCTTTTCTTTTCTTTACTTTTCTTTTCTTTTCTTTTCTTTACTTTTCTTTTCTTTTTTTCTTAATTAAAACTTTGTAGTTGGTTCAACTTTTCTTTTTGTCCTGACAACACCATCTTCTTTCTGATAATCTCAGCGGGAATTCACAAACCATAGATTAAGCCACCTCATGCAAATAATGTGCAAATAATATGCTTTACCTTTAACAGCTGGCAGAGGAACAAACCTAAAGTCGGCGTCCTGTTGGGCTTCTTAACTGCGGTCTTGCTTCTCAAGTGCTGGAGAGAGAGGCAAGACCAAAATATTCAGGGACAGGCAAACAAGAAGCAAAGAGACAGGTTAAACAGCAGGTAGGATTCCTGAGGTCTCATAACATCACTTATAGAATGATCTCTCCCTTCCCCAAACCTCAGCCATGCTCTTGGCAAGAGCTCTATGGTTTTTCTGTCAAACTCACTTCAGTCCACTAAGTCCAAATTCCTCCCTGAGATCAGACTCCATCCCCAATCCTTCCTCCTCCTCCTCCCATCCACCTTTTTCTTACCTGGTCTTCTTGCTCTGAAGGCAAAGCACCGTTCTTCGCTCCTTTCCTCTTGACTGGTCTATGCTTCCCCATGTCACCTGCAGAAGAAAGGACATGATCATGATACACATATTCCCAGGAGTCCATGTACCAGGAATGTTTCCTGAAAAAACAAAGTTCCCCTGACTCACAACCCAGTCCCATGAGACAGGTCGTGGTGAGGAAGAAAAGAGGTTTATTCAGGTGCCGGCAACCTGAGAAGATGGATGAAGATCGTCCCAAATCCCATCTGTACATCTCAGTGCAGGCATAGGTTTTATAAGGACGGAGAGGCCTAGCAGAGCAAAGAGGTTAGGGGGTTGGGTTTTAGAATTTCTCTACGTGCCAACAGGCACAGTCCAATCTGATAAGCATTTTGAAAGTGGACAGGTGTTGGTCCAGTGTGCATTATCCTAGACTTTGTCCTCCTGGTTCTAAGGTTGAAGGTCAGCAAATCTCCCATAACTGGGAAGGTCTGAGGTCATATCTTCTAAAATTAGTTGCTAGGAATCTTATACAAACATGCTATTTACCTACAAGCTTCATTATTAGTCAGAGTCTGCATTTACAGGAACAATGTGGAAAGAATGGTGAGGTAAGTTGTAATTCCCACTGTGACATGTATGCTGAGATGCTTCATTCTTTTTCAAGGCATTTGCACCTTTTGAAAAAGTCAAATTGGCCCTAGCCGGTTATCTCCGTGGGTAGAGTGCTGCCTAGGAATTGAAAGGTCCCAGGTACGATTCCCAGTCAAGGGCACATGCTCAGGTTGTGGGCTTGACCCCCAGTGAAGAACGTGCAGGAGGAGCCGATCCATGATTCTCTCAGCAGGGATGTTTCTAACTCTCTCCCTCTCCATTCCTCTCTGAAGAAAAATAAAAATAAAACACAACTCCAAGCTCAATGACCTGGACTGATCAAACTCTTCCCCAATTAGGAAGGAAAGATGAATGGGGCCATAAGGAAATGTTAGACATCTGCCTGTTGGCATTTAGGAGAAGCAAAAGATAAAGAAAAAAGAAAAAATTGGAGAAAAAAACATAGTTCAAATGTCACCCTCATACTGCCCTTGAAGGAATCGAGGCCAAAAGGGTCACGAGACAGAGTGTCTGCAGTGCGACACATTACAGATCTCGAGGCGTGGCTCTTTTATAAATAAATATATGTAGTTTTTATTGATTTTAGAGAGGAAGGGAGAGAGAGATAGAAACATCAGTGATGATGAGAGAGAATCATGGACCGGCTGCTTCCTGCACGGACCCATTGGGGATGGAGCCCACAACCCGGGCCTGTGCCCTTGACTGGAATCGAACCTGGGACACTTCCGTCCACAGGCAGACCCTCTATCCACTGAGCCCAACCAGCACGGGCGCTAGGTCGTCTTTTAATGACTACCTACCTGGTATGTTAAACCAAAAAACTAATAAACTATTTTAAAACAATGTGCATGCCATCTGGATGCAGCCATTGCTCATACTTTTTAAAATGATTTTATTGACTCAGAGAGGAAGGGAAATCGAGAGGGAGAGAAACATCATGATGAGAGAGAATGACGGCTTTAGGATCTAGCTCTGTGTGCATTTGGGTTTTTAATTGTGTTTAGCACTAAACAGCCCCAAACAAAGCCCAGCGATCATAAAATTCCTCTACCATCACCCCAGCGAGAGGAGGCTGGAGGGGGAGCCCCAGAAATCAATTTCAGTTTTTCCATGGTTGCATTAAAGAGAATCACCAATCGGCCGCCTCCCACACGCCCTCTACTGGCGATTGAGCCTGAAACCTGGTCCTCTAGTAAAAATATATTAAACAGAGAAAGATAAAGAAAAAGACGTTAAGCCTGAAAATATTAGCCAAGCCCCAGTAGACAAGGCTCAAAGACATCACTGGAAATAATTTTCATTTAATTGACCAGCGTTCTCATTGTTTGATCTCCTGAGGTTCGTCAACCAATACTACCCTCTCCAAAAAAAAGAACAAATATTTGGGGGAATTCGTGCACAAGTGTGGTGTCTTGGCTTGGCCTGCGGGGATCGGCCGAAACTGGCTCTCTGACATCTCCCGGGGGGTCCCAGATTGCGAGAGGGCACAGGCCAGGCCAAGTCACCCCACCGGTGCCACATTAGGTCTGTGGAGGAACACGGGAGGTTGTCCAGCTGGGGAGGGACCATGGGAGGGCTCCAGGATGTGTCCAGCATGTCTCACTCAGTCCCATTCAGCCAGCACCCAACAGCAAGCTGACCTACCAGTCTGAATGTCTTGTCCCTGGTGGTCAATGCATGTCATAGTGAGCAGTTGAGCATCGTTAGTATATCATTTGCATATTATGCTTTGATTGTTTGAACAGATGACCAGTCGAGTGGACACTTAGCACATGAGGCTTTTATTATATAGGATTGATTTCATACAGGAAGGGAGCGAGAAATATCAATGATAAGAGAGAATCATACATCGGGTGCCTCCTGCACGCCCCCTACTGGGGATTGAGCCCACAATCCGAACATGTGCCCTCGACCATAATCGAACCTGAGACCTTCCAGAGTCCACAGTCCAACCCTCTATCCACTGAGCTAAACAAGCTAGGGCTCATTGGTCAATTCTTGTCTGTGTCCTGACCAAGAATCGAACCGTGACCTCCGGGTTGGTAGGTCGTCCCTCAACCACTGAGAAACACCAGCTTGGCTCAATATGCTTTTATTGATTTGAGGGAGAGGGAGAGAGACAGAGAGACACAGAGAGACAGAGAGAAAGGAGATGAAGAAGAAGAAGTACAAGAACAAGATAAGAGAGAGAGAGAGAGAGAGAGAGAGAGAGAGAGAGAGAGAGAGAAAGAGAGATTAATGTGCCCTCGCACCCAGGGGGTGGCAGATAGAACTACAGAGCTTATTAAAAAGGTGATTAGAACTATACACGTCCCACCAGCTGGCCAGCAGGACTGGGGCTCAGGTTGACAAGAGCCAGGGACCCCATCACATGTCCTACAAAGAGTTTTCCATCAGCTCAAGTATCATTTCCTCCACACCATTCTCCTTGACGTGGTGCACGATACGCCAGTACCGGCACTTGGAGTCCAGGTACTGGTTGCCAGGGTAGAGCGTCCACAGCAAAGGGATGGTGCTCGAGGTCAGCGAGCTGGTGGTGAGTGGGATATGGCCACTTGGGATGTCTACTTGGAGAAACCGTACTTGCAGGACACCTTCTGTGTCCATGACGAGATTCAGCCACGTGTGCTGCTTCTCGTCCTCATACAACAAGGGCCCACGGATACTCAGGTAGGTGGGGTGGGAGGTGAGGT